TTTTTTTTTTTTTCTCTCTCTCTTTTATTTGTTTCAATATTCCCTCTTTGACAACTATATTTGCAATTGCATGAAAATATTGTTGATGGATAAAAATAAAGGGTGCTTTAGTCATTTGTTCATATGTTATCTCATGTTGTATGTGTTCATTGTTATAAACGTTATTATGCAGCTTTCGAGAGTTACTCAGACAAGAAAACCAAGAAAATTACACTGCTTTCTACTCTGAAGAGACTATGGTCTGCCACCACATCCAAGACTCTGAGTATTAGTGTGATCGCTTATGCCATCGCCGAAAGTTTCCTCCGGGGTTACCCCGCAGAGGTCTCTCTCGGGGCTCTGGCCGAATTGGCCAAGGCTACGGGAAGCACACTTCTCGGTGGGCTACTAGAAACTTCCAACTAATACACCGTAAGCGGAGGTGAGCGAGATTCGATCCTGGGTTTTTCCGGGCGCAGGACCCACCGACAGAGGCTCACCAGTGTCGGTTAGCGACGGGTAACTACAAAACGGAGTACGCCTGCTCGGATGCTCGAAAGAACTCAACCGTCCGCGGCAGAACGGACACCTGGCAGATCGAGGCACCTTCCTCGAACAACCAGACGAGGCGCAACTGGGGTTGTTAACTTTTTATGTGTGTGTTTTTTTATTTATTTCTTTGTTTTGTTTTCGCAGCATACTTAGATCTGACTTTTTGGCCACTCGTGCCTTTATATCCGACGGACCGGGTATTCGGTCGGGAGGATATCGGGAATGTTTCCGGTCCTTATCCCGGAATGGTACTTCGATGATATTTTGCTATCTGTTTTTTCGGTGTTTTTCCTATGAAATGCTTATTATTTTTTAGGTGTATCCTTTTGTTTTTTTCCGATGGATATTTTCGAAACTTTTTGTTTACTTCCGGGTAGGCACACACTTGGAGGAACGGTTTTTCTAGAAAGGACCTAGTTTTAGAACGTGAGGAAAACGATATATCCCTGAGAGACATGGCTTTCAGTCTCTCTTTTGGCAGAAGTACAAGTGTGGTGCACCTTCCTGATGAGTTCGCTAAGTGAGCGAACGAAACCGGTCGAAGGATTTCGCTTTGCCTTCTACTTGGGGAAGACGACAGCTATGGTGGTAATGGGGTTTGAGGACACGTGAAGGAGGGTATGTCTGATGTTTTTGAACTCTTAAGTTGGTTTTCTAAGTTTTCAAAGTTGTTTTGTGACTTACGAGCTTCTCATCGGCTATATGCTTACTTTGCCTATCTGATTCCCCGACCCCTATGCGCTTCCCTAACAGACTGTGTGGCCGCAGTCTGCCTCTCTTGGGAACATAGTAACCGGGGGGGGTTTCTACTTTTCGGTGGCTATGCTTTTGTTAGGTGGTACTACTGTGAAGAGTCATTTGGAGTTATGAAGATCTCAGTCGAAGGAATAGCAAAAGAACTTAGTGCAATCGCGGAAAATCGAATGGGAATGTTTAAGTTGGAGGAATGATATGAGAACTAAGTACAATAGTGGAAAGTCGAATAGATGCATAGAAGATCTCAGTCGATAGTACGGGGTGTGAAGGGTCGACTATACGGTTTTTCACTGGTCGGAGAAGTCTTACGAGGACTAAGGTAAGCTAGCAGAACTCAGCCGGAGGAAATGATACAGATGTAGTAAATAATGATCGGTTTTTCTGGACATTCGAGAAGCCTGTGTAGTAATAATGAGAGAGGCGCTACGTAGGCGCGTGATCGGCTTCAGTTTGCTGTGTCTAGGACTAGGAGTCATTCTGATCGTAGTGCTCTTTAGATCACCATGCCCTTTACGTGCCCTACATGTGGAGGAACACGTAGGAGAGTTAGAAATAGGGTTTGTGAGGAATGTGCCAGACTTATACAGCTCCTAGATTTGACTATGTACAACTGACTATTCGACCAATCTTCGCTACAACAAATCTTATCTCCGATCCAGGAATAAGGTGCGAAGTTTATAGGCAACTGCAAGAGGTGTTACGGCGAATCCGTAGAGCAATCCGGCTCCTGAGACTACGCCGTACTCTTGATAACTCCGACATTAGGGAAATCACTCCTATCTAGAGATCGTGAAAATTCAGTTTTTGAGCTAGCATAAGTTTTAGAGGAAAGGCGGCGAGGTAGAGAATAGTTTGACTTTTTACGAACACGAAGGATGAACGATGTGAACAACGGAGGTATGAATGGGAACGGGGGAAGGGGAAACGGGATCCAATGCTACGAATGCGGAAGACTAACCATATGGCGCGGGACTGTTGGTCCCGACGAGGCAGAGGTTACACACAACCTCAGCAGGATGATGAGGTTCGGACGTTTGTCAGAGAATTGATGAAGGAGAAGGAGGAGGAACGTGAGAAGAGACAGAGAGAGGAGCAACAACGACTGAAAGAAGAGGAAGAACGAAGGCGTGAGTTGGACCTGGCTCGACGGACCGAGGAGATGAGAATGATCTTGGAGGCGAACATCGCGGAAAAATGGCGCGAGCAGAAACGGGCAGCTGAGGAACAGGCTGAGACGGGGAAGTCCACCATCTCTTTCAAGACCAAGGAAGGAAATCGTACCTCTCTCCTCAATTGGCTTGAAGAAAAGTACGCAAATCAGGACGCCGAACGGACTGTCATCTTCATCGATGGACAGACGTGGGCAGATAAGTGGCGGGACATCCGATCGAAGTTTGGACAGACCACCATACAAGTGAACGGCAAGAGAACGAAATTAGGACAAGCAAAGCAGCTCTGTGAGGTAGGCGGGCAGTTTTCCTTCGGTAAGATAGTCAGGACCCTGACTACTACTGAGAAGAACAAGGTGGCCCTGCAAAAGCTACTTAGACAACCAAGAGCAGTGGGGTCACTGGTGAGACTCCCTACCATGAAATTGGTTGGAATGTACATGACGGCATGTCTGTTCGGAAAAAAGACTACGAGGAACCTTTTGAAGACCAAGATTGACAGAGTCATTAAGCAGACGACGAAGGTGAGTGTCAGGAGAAAGGTCACGGTGAAGTTTCGGTACGATTCGAGCGTGCTCAGGTCCGAAGTCGGACGAGCTACCGAGCTAGTTATAGATCAAAAAGTCTCCGATCAAGCATTCGCTGGCTTCGTTAAAAGGAAGGTTAGGATCATATCGACTAAGAATAGGACCGTCGGGGGAGTTATGCACAACCACAGGAGGTATGCATATACTGAACCTGTAGACTGCCCCTGCGCCGGGTATGACCTAGAGAAACACGAAGGGCATGTCTTGACTAGGATGTCGCGTCTAAAGGTACGTAAGTTTGTCCAGAATTCGAAGAATGTCACTAGATGCAGTCGGACTACGGGGTAGGAGATACTCCGTGACAGCATTCTAACGGCCACAGGGCATTTGGGCGATACTAATGCGGTAAGCACTGACGTCAGTAGATGTGTCAGCAACAGACAAGCGACAGCCTCGGCATGGACAGAAAAGGACGTTAAAGAATACGTAAGACAGTTTGATGGTCTGGTCCTGACACCGATCGATAGAAACGCTGGTGACACTGCACTGATCTGTCCTGTGCTGTACAGGCATGGGTACGACACGATGTTCACCTGGAACGAGGACTACTCAAATGTAGAAGGGGCAGAAGAGGAAGTCATAGCTCGATGTAAGAAAGACTACCAGGAAATGGGCCTTACGACGATGGGGGCCTCGATGCCGCATGGCACACTTGGGAAAACCTACGTAATCCCTAAGGACAAAGACCTATAGCGATGGCGGCCGATTGCCCCAGCATGTGCTGACCCTGCTGGAGTGGGACAACGGCGGTGTGCGAGAGCGCTATATTGCCTGATCACGCGACTGTCGAAGAACCTGAACTTCCATCTTGCCTCTGCACACCACCTCGTTGATGGACTGAAGAACGCAGGCGAAACATTAGCAAGTTCGGGATGTAGTATGGCCATAGGTCGCTGCTACGATATCAAGGAAATGTTTTCCTCGATACCGCATGCAGCCGTTACGGACGCGGTCTTCCAACTGCTGAGACACTTTGAAAATGACGGATGGAGGCAGGTAAGAGCGGTGGTCAGGGGAAAGCTTTGCACCTTATCCAAGACCAATCGTACAGAGATAGGCTATGTCTCGGTCAAACTCAAGACCCTCCTCACCATGCTAAAGTTTGACCTGGAACATGCCTACATGATGTGTGGCGGGATGATCAAGAAACAGGTCGAAGGGATCCCTATGGGAAAGACCACGAGTCCTGTTCTCGCCACCACCACGTGCGCAATGGCGGAGCTGCAGTTTCTATCGAGTCTGGGAGTGGAAAGAAGATTGGTGCATGGTTGGAGGATGGTCGACGACGTCTCCATTGTCGTCGGGTGTACAGATGACTAGTCCTCGAGCAGGGCGGCAGAGATACTCGATGACTTCGAATCATGCTATGATAAGAAACTTAAGCTGGTACGGAAGGACGAAGGGCTGGACTACTGGCCCTTCATTGGCGGAACGCTGTACCTACTGACAGACCCTCTACAGCTGCATTTCGTGCAGGACACCAAGAACACGGGAGCCCTGAGACTTGGGAATACTCTCAAGTACTAGACTATGCAAGATTTCGAGAGCTACTCAGACAAGAAAACCAAGAAAGTTACACTGCTTTCTACTCTGAAGAGACTATGGTCTGCCACCACATCCAAGGCTCTGAGTATTAGTGTGATCGCTTTTGCCATCGCCGAAAGTTTCCTCTGGGGTTACCCCCCGGAGGTCTCTCTCGGGGCCTTGGCCAAATTGGCCAAGGCTACGGGAAGCACACTTCTCGATGGGCTACTAGAAAACTTCCAACTGATACACCGTAAGCGAAGGTGAGCGGGATTTGATCCTGGTTTTTTTCGGGCGCAGGACCCACCGACAGAGGCTCACCAGTGTCGATTAGCGACGGGTAACTACAGAACGGAATACGCCTGCTCGGATGCTCGAAGGAACTCAACCGTCCGCGGCAGAACGGACACCTGGCAGATCGAGGCACCTTCCCCGACCCCTATGCGCTTCCCTGACAGACTGTATGGCCGCAGTCTGCCTCTCTCTCTCTCTCTCTCTCTCTCTCTCTCTCTCTCTCTCTCTCTCTCTCTCTCTCTCTCTCTCTCTCT